TTGTGATCTTTTCATGCTAATGTACTATTTAGGTACAATTATACATGAACCAATATTACTTGTTCTTATCAGACCCATAAACGTTTTTAGGAAGGCTTTCATGGTCAGTAAATTGAAGCTTATTAGTAAATGGAAAAGTAAAATTATCTTATTTTTTTATTTTCAACATTTTTCAAACCAAAATGTTGCATGCATAAGTCATGTTGCAAATCAACTATTCATCGGCTCGTTCATATAACTAATTAATTCTAAAAGGTATCGAATCAATCATATCAAATTTATTAAATTAAGCAAATGTGTAGTATTAATTGAATTAATTAAACTTAAATGTAAACTATTAAATATTTTAAATGCAGCGATTTATTTATTTTTATTAAATTTGAACATTTTAAATAGTGTAGCTATGACACTGCTTTAATTTGTTGGGTAATTATGGCTCTTTAACGATACATTTTTTTATGTTAACCGTTCAGTTCATTTGAACATGTTATTTGAGATTTTGTCGATGCCAATTCACCTATTGTCTTAAATATTGTGAAATTGTCGCATTAATTTATCTTTACTGCTACCCCTAAATTTAATTTACTTATTTTTATTTATCTTAACATGCACAACCCGATTGTGCTAAATGCGCTCTTTCGAACACCAGCAAAACAGCACTTTTTTACCTTGAACTTCTGAAAGAAATCCGTAATTTAAGTGGAGAGGGAGTTTTTCTACTAGCAAAGTCCAACGAATCCACTAGTCCAGCACCCAGCGTATTATTGAGTAGTAGGATAGTATCGGTTGTTTGTCGGTATGAAATTTTTACGCGACCTTTTTGCTCACTGCGCAACCCATTCAAGTTAAAACCAATAATAATATAGAGACGCTGTACGATGTTTCTCAACACAATAAATGAATCAAAGATTATTTAGACATTAATTACGAATAGAAAATAGCATAGAACAGATTCCGTTTTGAGAAAATAGGCAAATTATTTCCTAAAAGCCTTCCTCGCCGCTAAGCTTGCTTTAATTGTGTGATTTTGTATTATAGTAGTAACAAGAAAAAAGTTCTAGTCAGTATAATAAATGAAGCACGAAGTAACGTTTTGTAGGATTTGCTAAAATTACATTAAACTGGTATAGAAGATGTCACAGGATTAAAAGTATTTTCACGATTATTGCACTACACCTGTTTACGTGTAAGACTGTTTTTACCTATGTTTTTTGGAATTTTCACGTTTTGAGAGTAACTTCTAGTGTGCAATGCAAATGTTTGCACACAATATGAATTAAAAAAAAAATTAAGGTGCTATAGAAAGTCACTAAAGAACCCATTTTAAAACAATCACACATGTTTTGGGCTGTTTGTTTATTGATATTATTGATGCTGTTTTACATCGCCCATTTTACACCAATATTTCTTCAAATTTCAGCAGCCACTGTGAACCCATTTTAGAGCTTTTAGCAGAAACTCTACAGTCACGTAGAACTGCAAAAGCGCTTCATAATTAACGCATTTACTGTTGAACCATTTCAGTTGAACATAAATAGACAGTCTCAGTTTATACCTGTAAGATTTAAAAGCATTCACACGTAGCAATTGCGGCGTAAAGTAGCACTTTATGTAAATCCGCATACCTTTCCACTTATTAACCAATTATTCTGATTATAACGCCCGAAATTCCAAAGCAGCATTTTCAAAAATATGCATCTTGCGTGCCTGGTTGCCTTTTATATACAACTCGACCAATGCCATTCATCAAGACTCGCTAATGATATGAACTTTTACGTTGATTATAATATGTGAACACGTTTCACTATAATTATATAATTAAACTTTATGCATGGCCATTAATAACAGCTCCATGCTAAGCCTAGGGTAACTATCAACCTGTATACAGTAATGGCTGATAATCGTATTAATTTGCGGACGGTTTAAACATTTTTTGCACACTTCAATTAGTGTCGGTGCTATTTTATTTCAAACGAAACAAGGAACGTCCGATGGCTAACAATCACAGATAGTCGCAACGTTCAGTAAAGCGAGAAACTTCTGTTTATGTGCTAGGACGGTATTTCTATCTGCATTACAGCAATTATTTTATTTATTGTTTTGAACAATTAAAGAAAATGAAAACAGAAATAGTATGATGATGATGTTAAACTCTTGAGGGACTCTTAAGTGGTTCTCAAATAAATCTCCAGCTGAATAAGCTCAGCAAAAATGTTGATGTCAATCATAAACCAATATATCTATAAATATCTGATAGAGGATAGGGGCTGGGATACGGATAAACCGCGACAGCGTCTGAAACGATCCAGAAATGGGAAAACATGGGTGCTTGGCCTGTCCGAAGCTCTTACATCATGTTAATTGACGGCAATGGTCTCTCGAGGTGAATGTCGTTTTAAATTTGGTGATCTCAAGCTTCGATCGAAAATTGTTCTGAATTCGCAGCTAATATGAGCTGCCCTGTCTATCAAACATTGAATTGTACAAATATTATCAGCGCAAACGAGAAATAGCATAATTTATAGAGCAACCTGAAGCAACGAAATAACTCATCTCCGGCTTGCATCTGGCTGAGTGCCAAAGATGGAAAAGATATATCGAAGCAACAAACACCTCTGCCTTGGTGAATTATAGTACGGCATGTCACTAGTCCGTGTCCGGATCGGTTGCCAAATGTTCCAAAAGTGCGAAAAACGGATTTTTCTAACATTTAATTGGATATACACCTCTGTGAAACTATACGTATTTCATGCAGGTGTTATTAGATTTTTATAGTGCGTTGACTATTCTGTTGACAAAATACTTTCAAAACTTTATTCTACTGTGACAATCAATTTTCCTGAAAGTAAATTCACTGAAAGAGAAGCCAGAACCAGAGCGAACTAGTTTTCGTTAATCCAACCCGAAGGGATACAAATTTTAAATTTATTCGAAGTAAGGAAGATTGCCAATGTAGGTACATATACGGTAAATTATGCGTGTCTCACAAATGATAATTCTTTACATTTAATTTTAAAGCTTTAATCGCATTTTATTCCTATGTGAAGGCAAATTGAAAAGGTGGAAATACACCTTCTATTCAGAGTATCCACTGAATAACTAGCGATTTATTTAGATATTATTTATTAATTTAGGTGAGACAATTTGAGAAAAGAATTAGTTAGAGACCAAAGTTAAATATTCCCGAAATGGAAGCTTCCAGTTAGTCATTACAAGAAAACACGTAAAACAAGACATTATCGGTTATTAAATGAATTAATCTCAATAACTTTCTGTAGAGAATTGATGCATAATATCTGCAAAACAAACTATTTGGATTTTAAGTATCCAAATCCGCCAAAGTAGTATTGTTAGTATGCGTCAATATTTTACGATTACTTTAAAATAGAAGATTTTGTTTTATGCATACCTATCTATATAAGTATATATTTTCAGGGCGATTTCTCAGGTATTTTTAAGATGAAACATTAATAGTTCAAATAGTGCGTGAAAAGACTAATTTCATTTCATTTTCATTTCAATTCATCATTAATTTGTAAAATCATATCCATATTTCGTGTGCTATCTATATGCTTCTTCGTGTTTTGACCTAACTTATCGTTCATGCTTGTAACAACTTTTTTTCTTATCAAGAAAATTAAATTGTCTATCAAATCTTATGTCACTATCAACAAATGTTTTCGAAATATTTTGATTGAAAGTAATCTACGCAATTCAAATTTGCAAAATTTACAATTTGTTTCTTTAATGTACTTACGTATGTGATTAAAGTAATCGACGCACGTTTCTCATTTTACGAAGCCCCAAATGACAAGTTTTATTTGATTATCAATATTATATCGAAAACTACTTGAAAACAGCTAAAATTTAAAGTAGTTTTTCAACATCTTGCAATTCGATTCGATCTTAAAAATGCCTGACGAATAGTCTTGTAAAGAATCCAAAAAACCCGATATTTTGTATATTCATTAATAAAAACTTTTTCTCTATTTGAACTTGTTTCATAATAGTATTATAGTAAATCATCAAAATTAAGTCTTCTAAATGTGTTTAGTTGACCTGAAGTTGCAAATTAAAATCAAAGTAACAGAAGCGAAGATATATCTTGAAGATGAAGAAGCAAAATTGTAGTTTTTTGCTATTATTTTCAAGTAATTTTAATGAGGTAGAAATTAAATATACCGCTTATGTAGACATAGTGGGAATTTACGATTTCACCGAATATACCTACGCCTTTATCCATATTACTTCTCAGATTTAGGAAAATTCAATCACTGAAACTGGTTTAAAAACAAAACATGAAATATTGCTCTAATGTTCATACGCCGTCCAATACTAAGCAAACACATCAATAAAACAAATTCCCTACATAAAAACAGATTATGTAGCCAACTTGGCTTACGACCACAATGCTAATAACAAACAATTGTTACAGTAATTTTCATCAAAAATGTTTCTATTCTCCAATTTTCCTATGCCATAAAACATGAAATTCTACGCATCTATTTCGAAATTCGTATTTTCGGTGTGGCTGTCACATTTGAAACAGTTCAGCATTTGGTCCCGCTGTAAATCTTTAAGCTGAAAAAAGTAGCGGCAACTCTAAATTTACATGTCCGATCCCCAACATTAAAAATATGCACGTCATATTATTTGAAATAGATGAGCAAGTGCCAGAGATCATCTTTATAGTTGGGCAATAACACCGAAATGATATAGCGTTCGGATTAAAATTTTAAGCCAACTATTAAATGACGCTCTAAATTATTACTAAAAAAATCTACCAAGTCTGCTGTAGGGTTTTTCCATTTGCAAAATAGTAGATATCTTTCGTTTACATATTTTAATCGAACATTCCAAAAACAGCCTTAAATTGAGGACAAAACATATAGCAGAAGTTTTTGCATGTATGCAATTTTTGTTATTTCAAATTGGAGACAAACAGATTGAATTTTTCCCTATTTTTATTGACTGCTTACTGACGTATTTCTTTTTTTCAGGTACTGTAAACGCAAACGGAGAAACGAAAAGACAGAGGACCTCTTACACGAGGTACCAAACGTTAGAGTTAGAAAAGGAGTTCCACTTCAACAGGTACCTCACGAGGAGAAGGAGGATAGAGATAGCTCATGCGTTATGTCTGACAGAGAGGCAGATAAAAATCTGGTTCCAGAACAGGCGGATGAAGTGGAAAAAGGAACACAAGATGGCCAGTATGAATATCGTTCCTTATCACATGAGTCCCTACGGTCACCCTTATCAATTTGACTTGCATCCCAGTCAGTTTGCTCATCTTGCCACTTAGGATTCTTATTGTGATATTTCAATAGTGTGATCTTATTTTATTAGGTATTTTATTTATTTATTTTTCAAGATAATTTTATTTTTAATTGCTATTGGGTTTTAAGAGAGTTTTCACAGGGGTCATGCGTAGTATATGCCTAATACTTTAGTCTGCAAGTAATGTGAACACTGCTTTTAGAATTGTTTAGTTGCGCATGTTTAGTTTTTACTACAGTACTCTTCTATAGCATTTAGCAACTTCAAAGTGGATTTTCAATACTCAAATACATACGTATTCTAATTCGAATGCTATTGGATGTTTAACTCACCCATTTTCCAACTAACCCTCCTTATCTCAGGCAATGCCAGTTATTTTACTCCTAAGAACTCGATAGTTTTCTGCGATTTAAAACGTATCTACCTATAAAGGGTATCTTGAAATGAAGAATAAAATATAAGCTAACGATCAAAAAGTCATAATAAAAAAATTCTAAGTTAGTATGACTTACTAAAGCAGGTGCCCACAATCATATTTTCACACTCGCTTTGCATGCAGGTTTCAGCTGTTCGAAGAACCGAGCGAAGAAGATTACTTGTGAGCAGAGTTGTCATTAAATCGCTATTGCTGAATTAATGATAGTGATAAAAACTCTATCGCAAACGATCTGAAATCGTTTCATTTCAGGACCCCCTTTATACATGTTCTACTGTTACAATAGCACATGCACACATTAATTTAGTAGGGTGTAAACAAATTCGGAAATTTTGCAGGGATTTATACATATTCTTAACACTTCATTTTGCTTACTAACTACTGCTAACATTATTGTCGGTCAGCGCATAAATGGAAACTGATCGCGGATTACGTAACTGTATTCAATACATATAAAAACGTAGTAAAATTTATCACATCAAATTTAGATCAAAAAGTATATATATGGATATAGCAACACCGAGTTTGTGTCAAAATAAACTAGAGGTGTTTAAATAGTGATTTATAATTATCTTCAAAGTGAAAGCATCAATAAATGGTTCGACATGTTTGTCAACTTGAAACTATCTCTAATGCTACAGGTATATTTACGGCAAAACTAAATCTGTTAAGAGAAAAGCTAATTTTTCACTTCATTCTCTTGTTTTGATTTTCACTTTTAACCATATCTAAATGAAAAATAAATTTACAACTCAACTAAATACATGATGTATTAAATGAAGTTCCTCAATGGCTAAAGAGAAAGCCAGGCTTATTGTCACTCTCACTTTAACGTTCGCAAGGCTTTAATCTCAATTAATGACAAATTTTTACCTTCTCATGCTTTCATGTGTTGTCCCATATTTCGAAATCAAATTCATTAATTTAAAAATAAAAAGCCAAGGGGAATATACTTACAACTAATAGACTTCAGCCATGTAGCCTTTCATGATCCACCGCATCCGGCTCGATGTCAGTAGGTGTTAACACGATTTGGCAACCAACTGGTCATGTTTTGCTTTTCTGGTTTTTGGGTCAAAATAGAGGACCATCTACCACGGAATTTTCGTACGTAGGAGGCAATAACTGACTGTATTAACTGAAGGATGCCAGAGGTTCTGTGGCTTCTAGAAATTTCTAATTTCTGTCATATTTTTGATCAATTTTAGGGAATTTAATAATTAATAACTGTGTATACAACTATACATCGAAATATCGATAGAAAAATTCCAAGAGGCATTGAGTAGTGTGCAAAAAGGACTTTTAAGCTGAAACATTTATACGGTGGTATAGCGCGATCCATTTCACTTGATCATATTACAATGTTTATGTAAATACGTAAATAGAGAGCTACTTTTCCTTAAGAAAGATAAACATGTTTTTTCCTGGCTCATAAATTTTACTTTACGTTTGCAATATCAATATTCCGCTTCAGATTCCACATTCCACTAATTAAGCGAAATAACTCCTTTCTTGGTGACGATAACCTACAAGAACTTTATCATATCATCATATTATCATTATTGAAGACATTCATTCTAAGGACGGTACTTTGAAAACATAATTTTATAGACGGTACTTTGAAAACTTGCCCGGAAGATTTAACGTAGATACATTTTTGAATTGAGACATTTTAGTTTTTAATCCAAAATTTTTAGTATATTTTAGGGCATTCCAAAATCAGAGAATTTGGTGAGATACGCATTATTTGAAAAACATACAGGTACAAACATTGTTTCTGTTTACAAGTTACAAAATAATTTAATATGCAAAGAACAATGCAGTAAATATGAGATCCGACAGTGTGCTTTCAACTAGTGAAACAGAAAATTTTTAATTATCATTAATTTTTTAGTCACTCAACGAATTGTTGAAAAAAAAAGTAAACCGGCAAAGAGAAAATTATAATTTCCAATTCCAGAATAGCTACATCGTCTTGAGAAACAAATAGGTTACACACTCCGGTTAAAAAAAATATAAACCGTTCAAACACATAATTTAAGTTTCAATAAGTTTCGAACATGTGTTGAACAATCCCCCTCAAAGAAGGGGGATTGTAACTCAAATAAAATTTAATTAATTACACAAAAACAGAACAAAAGTTACTACAAACTTATGAGAAAATATATTAAATTCAAGTTTAGTCATTTTTTTCAAGAGCTCTTTCTTGAAATTCTAAGAGAAAGTCTTTTTCAGTTTCAGGGTCAAGTTTCAGGGTAAACGACAAGAGAGGCTAATTTGAATTTGAAAAAGTTTCGAGATTTAGTTATTATTTTTCAATTGGATTCCATACGATTTGATTCGAATTTTCAGTTGTCAAAAAATCTTTATACGAATTTAAAGTTATTACGTCCATATTAATTTTAAACGAGTTCTCATCAAATTAAGTCTTGTTTCATCACTTCCGGCCTACCAGGCAAAGTATCGAGCCCGCTTACATGGAGATAAAGAATAGTTCATTTCCCGAATGCAAAATCGAAGAACAGATGAAGGAAGCTGCTATTCTCATCTTCAGTTTGCTTTTCGGATATATTTCTTAGATTCCTACATATATCAAATTAATTTTTACTTCTGAGGACCGTAAAAAGCCTCCGTGATCAACAGTCGTCAGTTAAGTTCAGGAATTGATCACGAATTATGATTTGAAGCTTTCGTTCCGAGTCAAACAGCCATTCGATCTTGAGATGTTCTTCACGGAAATTGGTTTGAGGTTTTAATTGCTGTTCTATTTTGCTACCTTCACCGCTTGCTTTTATCTTAAGCTCTATTCCGTCGAAGGATTTGCAGGATTTAAATGCGTAGTGTTTGGGATTGCAACAGTTGTATTAGATATGGCTGCTTCATCCGATAATAAATTTTGGATGAACAAAATGTACACCGAATTGATCAATTGATGCTCGCTCAAGATTGCAAGAAATACCGATTAAGACATCCAGGAACAATTGGACAATTATTGGATAAGCTGCCATTTTACTGAGGCGCAGATAAGACAAATATCATTCAATTTGCTTTGGAAACAATAACTAAGATTATATCTATTAGTAGTTCTGTCCAATAAACTTGACCTTTTGGTAGACCTCTCGATTATTCACAAGTTTATCCATTTATAAATGGGTTAAACGTACACCATATTTCACATTTCAAAATTATGTCCTAACAGCTTAAATTTTGTCAACTGGGGTTTTTTGTGTATGGTTTTCCGTTAACTAACACAAGTCATGAAATACGTATTTAGATCGTCCGCTACAGGACAAAATATAATACTTAATTATTAAGGGAACCTTAGGTGTTTTTCCTGACAATGACCTACTTTCCTTGTTTGGTATGCAAGTAGCATATTGAATTTATTTCAAAAGCTCCTGACCAGTTGATTCAATTGTGTTCTTGTTTCGACAATATTCCGGATGCAGGGAGATGCCGATGGGATTTGATTTTAACTTGAGCGATGCTTAAGATATCGAAGATAATTATATGATACTTACCAACATGTTTCGAATATAATTAATTTGCTAAATCGTAACCCACAAGACACTATTACAGTATTTTGTATCATATAGGTAAATTTGTTTGGGTTGTTTCTACATATAATCGACGTTACAGTAAAGGGCATCGGAGCGAACAGCACGCGTTTCAAATCAAGATTTAAAATAACTTTCAGGTCACGCAATTAAAAAAGGTAAAATAATATTGGGCATCAAGAGGAAATAAACGGGGGAATAATAAAAATGACGGAATTAGATAATATTAAAAAGCGTACAAGCAATAAAGTTCGATGTGCAGATTTTCGTTGAAAGACAACTACAATTGCATTAATGAGAACTAATTAAAATCCCGTCCCCATGGTTATGGTATATACTAATTCCTACTAGATTCCATTCTCAATTGTGCAATATTTGTTTAACATACATCAAGTTAATAACATCTAATAGTAGCAATAAACTCATATGCGACTGCCTTTAAATTTAATGGAAACTTACACCATTCTTCCAACTCACTTTGATTCCACTCATTACTCAAATAGTCGCTTCTCAATTACAGTTTTCACACCTAAAACATTTAGCTGTTAATTACTAACATAACTCAGTCTAATTGTTGATAAATTTTTACAAATGAGCGTGGGTCAATGTCCTTGTGACTGCCATGTTCAAATAATAGTTGAGCCATTTCGAAGTGATCCCCAAAGTTGTTCTGTTTGCAGACTTCCACTTGGCATCCCTCCAAGATGAAGGCTACGCATTCCACCAAGCCATGGGGATGGGCGGAATGGGGCCCATGCAACGCGGCCTCTACGCTTGCGGCACTCCCTACAGCTAGCCCTGGGCCGCCTACAACGGAGACTGTGGCCCTTCATAAGGGCTTTAGGGGCTCTCGGATCCTAAACAGTCTCTGGCCAGCGGTTCTGCCATTTGCTGATATTAAAGCATAGAGGCAGTGAAAATATTGTTCTTGTAATTAACCGAACAGTTGTTCCAACCAAATCACCCAAATCCATAGAGTTTTGTGATGAATAGCAACTTTTTCACTTGCTAATGTCAGCAATGGCGTAAGAACCGTCGGTTCTTTAGTGTTAGGAATAATAAAAGTGCCAGTAAAGGACTAAAATCTTGTTGGTACTGAAATGCTTATAGTACACAAACTGCTCCGCTTTAACTTGTTAATTATTACCAGGGCGTGCGGTGCAATTTGGAAGAAGGGATGCAATTGATTAAAACTCACCTATTTAAAATGCAATTGGATTCTTCTATCATCTAGAAACGGGGATGCTGCTACATTTTCCTAACAAGATGTTAATAACTGACTGGCATTATTTTTTCTCTCAATGTCTTGAGTCTCATACAAAGCAGTTAGTTCCGAACGTAACAAAATCATATCAAAATATTGTCCATTATTACGAATCAAAGATTTTAATTGCTGTTCCGGAAAATGTGTTTCTTTGAACGTATTAAAATTACACTTCGAGAAACTTGACATCTTCAAAATTCTTGAACCTGTTGAACCTGTTCTCTATTTCTTAATACACTAAATCCAAAACTTGAAAGAACAATCGGCGGTGACAAGTTACAATATCTCCAACATTATCGGTGCGTATGCTTTGTCTGTTTGGCTCAAAATGTCTATCTATCATATTATTCCAGCTGTTTTCAAAGTAAATTTAAAATTTTTAAATTCGATAACTTTTTTGCACAGAACCCAATATAGTATCAGAGAGCTAAATCAATAAAAGAGACTAAAAGTTATAACATCGGTAGTTTAATCTAAAATAATTGCAAGGGATCGTGTCTGAAAGCGGGTTTGGAAACGTCGACCTTCTTAATTAGGATGTTGCTATTTATTACGAAATTAATAATATTATAAAATATAATGATTTTTCTAAAGGAAGGAATGCTTTCCTTGCTTCCATGGACCGCACGCTCCTGATTATTACGTTGTTGATTCAATGTACAAACTTGGTAGCCTGAATTTCGAAAATGTCTAACTTTGGTTACCAAACGCTACTTTCGTTCAATGTCTCTACAAATCAACAGAAACACTTGTAAAGTTCCGTTACAAAAACACTTTAACAAATACGTAATTTTAATGTGCAATATAGTTATTGTTGAAGTGTCTTGTTTATCAAATAGCAAGCGATCTTGTGCGAAAAGACACTGACCTGTGCTCACTTAAGTCTAATTTACAAAATCGAAGTGTGATTATATAGCTATTAGAAAAAGTTCTTTATATTCATTTTTGTTTTCTAAATGGTATATTTTATTTTTAATTGGCGGTTTATACAATTTTCTTAATTTTTCGTAACATAAGTATCTGATCTTTTGCTATAAGGACATGTAAATAAGAGTGTAGATGACAATGTTTCATTCGTTTTGTAAATACTTTTAATGTAGCTTTAAGGCGAATTTAGTTAATTTAGAACATCTAATTTTAAGTATATACTGAATAAAAAATCGAATGTAAATAAGAAATAAGGATTTAAGTTTAAGAAATATTCTTTGTATAGATCTGGTGTGATTTGGATCTATTTAAAATCGATATCTAAATTGACGTAGTCGATCTTTTTCGAATCAGTTCAGAAAATTCACTGTATTTCCATTAAATGCTTTTTGAGGGTTATTTCATTTTGTTAATACGCAAATAAATAAGAACATATTTAAGTGGCAAGCATTTGAGCACACGTTTCTTAGAATGCAAAAGTGTATATAATGTGTATATTAATTTTAGCTCAATATATGTTCATGTTTCTTTTATTTTTGTTTTAATTTTATTTATGTACTTTGTAATAATTCTTGTGTGATGGACGATATACTGTTAGGATGTATCCGTTCTAACTAATAGTTACTGTTGTAATTGTCCAATCTAATAAACTATTAATAAAATTCAGATTTTTTATTTAAATTCGCAACCAAATTTTGTTGGTACGTTTTCTTGATGTCATCAGTATATGACCAAATTGAGAAAACCTGCGCATATTAAGTAGGCAATAGAAAAGTGTCGAATAAAAAAAATGTGGTCACAATTACAAAAAATATCATTATTCAGTCAAGGTTATAAGAAAAAATTGGCGAATGAAATTGGAAAGAATATAAATTAAAAATCTTCTACACTGTTTCTACACTACTTCATTTCGGATATTGCAGTTTTATCTGGAGTAATACATGTGGTTTCAGAAATGGTTAGAACTGAGTCTGCTACTACCGCAACTTTTTATGCGTGTAAAATGTTTATTTACTTATTTTTGCTTTGTCTTGTTATAGAAGTATTCACTTTTCTTTGAGAGGACAACCAATTATCAATAGTTAGGCAGACGACCAGAGTAATCAGAGTAACAACCAATGTGGAACAACTTTCAAATTTTAACTTGCGTACAAAATTGCTACTAATCGTATAATAAAATGTATAACGCTTAAGCAGACGAAAATTGTTAATTTTCAGCGCCCCCAAATTTCAAGCGGAACTACAGCACAATTACTATCAATAAAAATAGATATTTTTTAAAAATTGAACAAAATCTTGGAAATCGTTTATGGGTCTAAATATTGAAAAGGCCGATAAGTGTGCACTTAAAAATTGAGAAACAATTTGATGAATCATCAATCAATCAAAACATTTAGTTTTGCACTGAAAACAAGTATGGAAAGGTGAATGGGAAAGAGGTTTCAATAAATGTAATGCAGTAATCATTAAACTTGTCACATAAATTATGGCAGCATAAAAATTAAGAGTGGATGCTTTGACTTTCTGTTTCGTTGATTTATATCTTATTTTTATATTTCTATTTTATATCTTATTTTATAATGGAATTCAATAGAATCATATTTATATATAAACTTATGTATGTTATTTTAATTAAACGATTGCAGTGTTTCTCGTATTGCCCAATCAATATAATAAACATACCCGAATACCAAACACGACATGTAATAACTGAACCCAGAAAAACCCGGTTACATATTTTGCAATTTCAATTTCATCACTTTACAATCTACTAATTAGGTTTTTTTTACTGGAGATACTTTACCGTTTAAGCCAGGCTGAAAATTCCAATTGTATCTCCACCACAGCGTCAAGACTAGTGTAAAAAACCATAAGGGGTAAGCTTGATCAAGGAACAAATCCGCTCGAGATGTTTTTGAGTCGATTTAAAAAATCGAGCCACGCTTCATATATTTTGAGTTTCTAACAATTCAATGAAAAATTCGTATTGAAATTCCAAAGTAGAAATTATATCCAATTAGAGTTTTTTCGATTTAACAAAACTTGCTGCTTCATATTTGAGCACGATTGCTCCATAGAACACATAGAACTCCATGCAAGTGCCCCATAGAAGTTTGAGGACACTTCGCTAATTTCTGTCTTCGACCTCCACCGCTTTATCGCAACTGTTAATACCCAAGTATAGATTTAACATAAATACGCACATCTTATTTCGAAGATCAGATACAAGAGTACACGTAGTGTATGTAAATTTCTTTTGTAGAACGTGCAGCTGATGCGACAGACGAAGACTTTATTTTGATGCTTGACCACCGGTTGCATTGATGCGCTCCAGCCTGAAATACGACAGATTTACATTTGTAATGCTGAGGCCTGAATGCGATTTATGTCCTTTTGTGTGTTTGTTCTCATTTTTAATGCTGGGAAGCGATGAGAAGCGTCAGCATTACATAGTCTGTCCGTCAAAAGACATTTTTTACGGCGAGATGTTGGTTATGGTATTTGGTCGAGGGAACTATGAAGCGATCATTTCCATGTCTGTAAGGACAGGCCAGCATTTTCTTCGTTGTACCTTCAATAGCTATTTTTCGCTTTTTGAATGTTAAGTAGGAAAATTATTTGTGCTCCCCATTTTATGAAGTATGTAATTCGTCAGCTTAAATTGCCATAAAAATGTCATGTTGGTTTTCAAATTTTATTCGATTTACGTAGGCAATATTTGCATGTGTGATAGCATTAGATACCTACTCATTTATTCTAATTAAAATGGGCCAAGCGGTTTTAACCGTTATTACAAATTTTAGCTTTGCTTGAAAAAAAAATTACTTGAGAATCCAGGTTGATTAATTAGTGACTTAAATCTATCCTCTATCTATATATAAATTTTCTTTTCTGACAAATCAATTTCAGGTTCAACAAATCCGGAGTACTTTATCCAGTCAAAGTGCCGACCACCTTTGGGGTTTCAATGTTGGGGTGAATGTTCACATAATACATCTTTTCTAAATTAATTTACATTATAGGTACATTTTCGCCTTCATAACGGTTCTATGAAATATTTCAGAGCTTTGAGTTTTGACTCTGACATCACGAACTAAAAATAACTAAAATATAGACACGGAAACTTTAACAAAAAAATTGTTATTTACCTTGTCTTTGCGACCTTTTCAAAATATATGCAGCACTTTTAGTTTAGATTATCAATTGACAGAAGATCGAAGAAGTACTAAAATCATGTAAGAGGAAATATTATTAATTTAGCATTCGATTTCATGACTAAAATGTGCGGAAAATTTTACAAACTTTTCAAAATGGTGAGTTTTTAAATTTTTCGGACGTCGTAAATTAGAATCACCTTCACTTCACAAGCCCGCATCACCAGAAAAAACTGCTATAATTTATAAATGCCGAAAAACTTACCAGATTCGAGGTGTGTCAAGGAAAGCCTAGAACGTTTCATTTATAAAAGTTCTATTGATCCGATAACTATATTAATCTCTTTTGATATTGTAAACAGTCTCGTATTGTAGATCCGGTCGTCTTCACATATTGGAAATATTTAAAAAATGTTACATGTTACGCTGGAAAGTAAACGAGTTAACAGCTCATTCTTCTATCTAGAGAACACATGAACTAACATATTAATTTACACAACATTTTTTATGAGGTAAGCCATGTTGCTATGATCCTTCAAAAAAATTATACATTAACTGGTTCCCTTTGTCGTCCCAAGCAGTATTTGTTATGAAAAACTACAATATTAAATGCAAGTTCAACATTTGATGAACATTATATTAAATTCATATTCCGCTTTATCTATATGCCTACCCCTTAGACGTCTAAATACAAGATTTGCTGTTAGTTTGCAATTATAAAGATATTTAAAAAGAAGAGCGTCATTGGGCTATTCGATTATCTTTAGAAGCTTAAAAAATATATTTAAGCTATTGCTTTGATACGAGATTTTTAAATGTATTCAAAAATGTGATAAGTAAAATTATTTGTCAATATTATTGCAAGACATCTTAATTAATCTTATTTCGACTGTATAGTCCCCATAAATGCGAGCTTGCTCTTGAAATGATTTTTCGAAGTAGGTGTTTCCTGAGTTGGTCTGATTATTTGCATAACTTCTAAACAAAAATCCAAAATATTTTACTGGTTCAGTTTGCCGTTGATTATGTGTATATGAAAGCAATTTTCAATTCAATTTTATCGCAACCGAAATTATTAATTATTCTACTATGGTCCGCAAAAATCGTTCTATCAACAGTTTAAAACTTTACAATTAAACATATAGGCGAATGCAGATTCACTTGCCTTTTCTCTCTATATTTTCTAGGTCACTCAATTAATTGAAAATTAAAACAATGGTCTACAATTTCAAGTTAATTTGGCAGCAAGTCAGAAAAAAATTATTGATAGGAAATATTTCAGGTTTCAGAGACAATCTTCACTCGCAAAGAGAAATTGATTGGTTTATGGTATACAACCATTTGCTCACCATTTCGAAAAGAACTTGAAAGGGCATGGTTGAAAGATTCCCCTGCACCATTGAGGCCAGTCGAAATCGACCAACAGCCAATAATTATGTTGTCATGAAAATAATGCCGCCGCTTCTGGCCGTTAAAAGACAATAATTATCATTAAGTATATTAATTTTTGTTTCTAGAATTCATCCAATAGCGTATTTTATCAATATTACCTATTTTGGAAATGTTTTTTGGAGCTTGATATTTGTGCGAGTAATAAGGATCACTTAAATGAAAAGTAGCTTAAAACTCAAGAGTAGTACATATTTGAATCAAATTATATTTGGCAATTCTCACTTAAACTGTGATTGATAGGGATGATGATATTTTATGATAAGGGAAAGTGATCTAGCTTTAGTTTGGCGAAATAAATAAATAGTCCGTATCTAAATATTATATACTTTTTGCCACCCAAGTATAACTTTTGAAATTTCTTACACAATATCGTTTTACGGGGTAAGTTCTAAAGTGCAGAAATTCCAGGAACTTTAAACTTTACTTGCTGCTACTAGATCAGAACAGTAGTTCATTTCAGTTTCAATTGGGAATCATCGTTCCATCAAAAAATATTTACGTAAATATTTTTGCTCAAACTGCAATAGCGATGTTCGGTCAGTAAGGTGAGCATCATTATGTAAAGCAACCGAGAAGTAATTTCATCCAAACATATTAAAAATCCTTGGATTATAATGAATAAGGCAACGCATTCTTTTCAAGAATATTGTGTGGTTTTGTAGTAAATAAAAATGTTGTGCGAATATTTTTTTAAATATTTTCATCCACCAGATTCACTAGATTGTTTGATGTCGGCATGTTGATTATTTTTAATCATTACATACCTCACATATGTTCCTTAGCAGAAAATGAAGCCAATAGGTTATTGAAATCAGTTTTAAATAAAAAATTTTAAAACGTGATTTTCAACAGAATCGTAAAAAGTACTTAATACGTGAACGTATCAATTGTGCCTCAATTGAGGCACAATTTCATCTAATCAAAAATAAATACACAATTTCCGTGTTTGTTATTTATTATTCCCTGTTCCACGCACAATATTGTCACTTATTTTAAACAGAGTTTTCAATATCCGCTGCTCCAAATTTAGAAAAATTCGGTTTTCTGCTTCATCG